GGACAAATTTCAACATACACGTTTATTTGGAAGCATCATTTCAAAAATCCGAAAAAAAGAATTTCCAAAAGCTTGGTGGCCAATTACATCAGATTTCCCTGTACGCCGCCGGCAATTATCAGTAACAGTAAAAGTATTTGAATACAAAAAACCCACATGAAATTTCAAATCTAAAAAAAAAAAAAAAAAAAGCATATAAACTTGAAAAACATTTTCTTTCTCAATTCAAATCTTGACCATATAAAACCATTTTCCAGATTCGTGTTAATCATATTGGGGTCAAGCATCTCATCAGATCTCCACCCTGTCTTGTGTTTTTCCATTTCAATTTTCACACTTTTGTTTTCATTTTCGATTTGTCTTTTTCTTTCATTATTCTGGGCACTCGAGAAAAAAAAAAAAAGTAATCTACTTGTAACGTTCTTTATTTTAATATAGGACTTAAGTCTTGTACTTACCGAAAAGTTTTTGAATGAATGGTACGTACGTTTCATTCAAAAGTTTAAAATTTAAGTAAAACTATACGTTTTTATGTATTCTCATTAGAAAACTGTGTTGTGACGAGTGCATACGTGTTTACCGACTAGAAAATGATTTTTTTTTTTTTAAAAAATAAAATTATGAAAAAGGAAGTATAATCTTAAAATAATATGAAAAGAAATTGAATTTTTGTGTGGAAAAGTTGGTATCAAGATAATCTTAGGGTAAAAAACAAAGGGGAAAAAAGGGTTGGGGGGGGGAACAAAGGAGGGCCAAATTTTTTGACTGCACTGTTTTGGTTATCATGATTTTGTTTGTTAAGGTAACAAGCTTCTTTATATTTGTCTGCAGAAGTAAGGAGAGCCCACTAACAAAACTATTTACTGCTTTTCAACTATTTGCTTATTGATAATTTGTCTTTTCTTTTCTTGCTACTTAAGAATCTGAAGGTGAGGGCAGACAGTGATTAATGATTCAAGGTTTTCAGGTAACATAAATCTGTCTAGAGAAAGAGAGAAAGAGAGAAAAAAGCTGAATAAAAGATGCGTGATTAGCTGAACATTATGCCTATATGTATAGTTTTCAAAAATTTATGTATGGATGATGTTTGGTTTAATCCGTGAGAATATTGACCAGAGAACACTTTCAGAAAAATATCATGTTCTCGAAGAAACAAATTTAGATTATGTCAGGTGATATTAGAGTGTAAAAGAGGGAAAAGAAAAGCAAAATACCATTGATCCTGTATTGGATTGCCCACAACAATCATTTTCCTGCATGTAAAAGAAAAAATAAAAGAAAAATCAGATCCTCCAGGTAAATTGAGTAGAGAATAATGGACCACAAAAGCAGATCCTAAGATTACACCGACTCCATTGTTAACTACTACAGCCTCCTGGTTTAATTAACCACACAGGGCAGAGGTAAGATGGTCCCCCATGAAACAGATCTCATTTGGACTACACAAAACAAAAGCATGTATAGATAATATATATAATAGAAAGATCAGTCTTTGACTACTCTGGCAGGTTACTCAATGATCAGAAACAAAGTAATGTACTAAAGTAGGAGAGGAAATGAATAATTAATTGTAATTTTTTAATGTTTTTTTTTCTTTGGGGGGTGTTATAATAGGTTCATTCATCCAATGAAGATAACAAAAGAGTTCATAACAAGAACAAGAACAATTAAGTCAAGGAAATCAGGCCAGGCTATCTACTGAGATTACTATTTGTTTGTTGCTGCCACGCTCAGACAACATGTGTATCCAAACAACATACCATTGAACAAATCAACCTCCCTTCTCCTCCTCTCTCTCTCTCTCTCTCTCTCTCTCTCTTTCTGACATGTCCTCTTCTGTACAAGTCTTTTCTTTATTTATGAATTGATCCTGTATTTCAGTTTACAGAGATGCACAAGATGACAACCCTTTTTTTAACCAATGCCCTTTTTGTTTACAGCCCAATTAAAAAGACACCAAATTTAGGAGAACAACAAAATAAATAAATGGGAAAGGGAGAGAGAGAGAGAGAGAGAGAGAGAGAGAGAGAGAGAGAGAGAGAGAGTTACAGCTCAATGAGCTTCCCCACCCTTCTATCACAGCTAAGCCATAAACGTACAAGAAATAAATATGCCCAAAAGCAGGCAGAAGGGAGAGGAAAATTCAATTTCCTAATTGGCAAAGACAGCAAATATCAATTCTCAAGTAATAAAACCAACAACATCTCTGATTCTTGTATGCCATGGAAAAATTGAGGACCTGCTAAATCTGGTGTGGTAATGTCTTGTTTGGCGCAGCTGTCATGACCCCATCAGAGGAGGAATCCCATCTCTGCGTACCTCAAAACAGGTACCATCTCTTTTCTTTCCAGATCAGATGACAAAAAGAGGCAAAAAGGAAGATAGTGAATTCAGGGAAGAGACTTGAAATTGGTAGTCTGATAACTACCTTTTCTTTTGATCCCCTTCAATAATTATGTCTTCCAGTGCCCCTCCAACTTATGTCACTTTCTTACCCGTCCATATCCACGTAGTAAAATCAATAAAACATTTTTACAGTTGGTAACAACACCACTCCCACATGGGTATTCATTTTCTGGCGGACAAAGATTCTTGCTCAGCTGCTACACAGCTACCTAGCTCACTGAGCTTTAATAATTTCTCGGCTATGTCTTATATTGTCACTCCATAGGTCTTTTCTCTTTCACCTGACAGAACTTCTTGCCATGCACCACAACCAGGGAAATTCTAACGTGCCTTTTCCATCTGCACCAGGTACTTCATCTTGTCTTTCTTTTTACTTAGGAGAGACTGATTGTGAGGTTTCTGTGGAGTAGTCAGTGCCAAATTATATATCCCACCATGAAACTCTATCAGTGGTAAGAAATAGAGTAATAACTTCTGCTTGAGTTTTACTTGTTTGCCTCCTGCTCTATCTCTTATCGATCCCTTCAAATAAGAAAATTAAAAACAGAGACAAGTCTGGACCATTTAGGATTATCAGCCGCATTGACATCCCAAATAACTATTCCCAAAATGGATGCTTAATGTCACGCCAGTGTCTTTCTGAATACCTGTCCGACACCAAGCGCTTCAAGTGCTAGCTGTTGATATAATGCCACCGTAAACAATAGCCGTATCAAGTCAGAAGTAGTATTCGATTCGTGGTTGAAATTACAGTACAGGTAGTGAAATCTCAAATTTCCATATATCAAATCTGGTCTCCAGTTGCAGGGTTGAATGATGTAATGGCTCCTTCATTTTGCTGTTGAAATAGGCATCCTCAGCTTGTTTAATACTGAAACTGAAAAGCATATATTCTGGTGTGGCAGTTTCAATGTGCAAGTTTTTCGAAGATGTCGAAGCCATATGCAACTTACATAATTGGAGGTTCAGCAGGAGCACTTGCATTTGTTGTTATAGTCATTGGAATCATTTGGTTCTGCAAATCACATTGCAAATATTTCTCAAATAAGAACTCCGAAACAGGCTCCTCAGATCCATCAGCACAAGGTAATACCCTGCTAAAAGAAAAAAAAATTGAGAACCTTTTCTAATAGCTAATCAAATACCTTCTCTTGTCTGTGAATCTGTTTGCTGCATTACAGCGGAGTGGAATAGGGGAGGTGGAGCCAGCTCCAGTGGAGGCCAGCCCCTGTTTGGGCCACAGGGAGCAAGGCAATTCTCGGAGGAAGAGTTGGCACAAGCCACCAAGCAATTCAGTGAAAATAATCTGATAGGATATGGAAATTTTGGTCAGGTTTACAAAGGCTTGCTCCGTGATACAGTTGTAGCTATCAAAAGGCGGCCAGGAAATCCTCGACAGGCATTTGTTGCAGAGGTATAAGAAAGTTCCAACTCATGTTCAAACTGATACTCAAGGTCTCTATTAACCCCATTTTTTTGTAATTAGGCTTAACTTGAAGATTCGACCACTATATAACTTATGCAGTGAACTCGGAGAATGTTTTTTTTTTGTTTGACACATTAAAATAGTAAGAGATACAGTTACTTTGATTTCTCAAAGGATATAATATATATATATGTATATATATGTTTGAGCTAGAAATGATTATATTTAATAGCTGTAAATATATTTCATGCAGGTAACTTATCTGTCAGAGATTAGGCATCGCCATGTAGTTAGTCTTTTAGGGTATTGCCAAGAGAGTGGATATCAAATGCTAGTATATGAATACTTACCAAATGACAGCATGTGCAATCACCTGTATGGTATGAATCTTTTAGCAGTTTATATTAGTTTGTTCATGATGTAAATACTACTGTTTCCAGTAATAATACACAATTTTGCAGATACTGGAGTAGAGTCATCTACTCGATTAGAGTTCAAACAGAGACTATCAATAGCTCTTGGAGCCGCTAGAGGTAAACTCGAACAGTTCTGATGAGAAATTTTGAAGGCAAAAGATGAGAAAGACTCCATTGAAGTTCAATTTGAAAAAAAAAAAATTGCAGGTTTATGCCATTTGCACAGCCTTAAACCTCCCTTGGTTCACAAGAATTTCAAGACTGCTAATGTCTTGGTTGATGAGAACTTTAATGCTAAGGTTGCAGATGCTGGAATCTCAAAGCTACTTGAAAAAGTAGAAGAAGCAGGTCCATCTCACACATCTAGAGTCAGTGTTTTCCTGGACCCAGAGTAAACAAATTCCATCTGATTGCATTTTGCTTGTTTATGGAAGGATTAATTAGCTGTCACCTGTAGTCATTTTCATAATCATGTTGTGATGTTCAGGGTAGGAGTATCAGGGACCTTCACTGATGCAAGTGACATTTACAGCTTTGGAGTATTTCTCTTGGAGCTTGTAACAGGTCAGGAGGCTCTGTATGTTGATTCATTGGGATCTAATGAAAGCTTGATTCAGTGGGTATGTAATTGCTATTTTCTTCAGTAAAAAGTTTCTCTTGTTTGCTGTTCTATACACACACACACATCCCAGAGGAAGAAAATGTCCAAGGAGCTAATACAACAATCATTGGCTTCTATTCGTGAAGGTGAGATCAAGATTGAGTTCAAACACTTTCGTGGATCATCGCCTACTTGGAAGCTTCACAGCAGAGGGAATGAGGGATTTGATCAGACTAATGCTAAAATGCATGAGCTTTCCAGGAAGAAGTAGACCAAAAACGGAAATGGTAGTTACTGAGCTCGAAAGGATTCATGAGAAGGAGATGGAGCTAACAACAGTTATGGGTGAGGGTACTGCCACAATCACTCTAGGCAGCGAGCTGTTTATGTCAAAATGAAAAGAAAATTACAATTCTTGGTGTTCATTATATGTTTGTGCTAAGTCTAAACTTAGTAAATCCAACAACTACTTCTGGTTTACATTGTTTCAAAGAGAAATGTAAAACAGCTGTAAAGGAATTGATATTCAAGCATCAATTTATTTGTTAATTATGAAAAATAATAGCTGTTCATTATGAGAAACATTTTCAACTACTCCAAGAAGATATGAAATATTATCTACCTAAAAAATAGTTCAAACCATTTATCGTAAAGAGTTTTAACTCATTTTCAACAATCAATCTCAAAATTTTTTATTGAATTTTTGCGGTATCAACCTAATGATATGATAACTTTTTTTTAGAGAAACAATTATTAGAAATAAAAAGAAATAGTTTAAAATAGTGAAGAATAAGATATTCTCCTGGAGACTTCACTTATAACAATTCTGAAACAAAACAAATTACTGAATTGTATGACAACCAAATCGTAAAAGTCAAACTATTTTTGCCTTCCAATTCCGGTGAATATTAAGAAATTACCTATTAACCTTTGTCCATAATGAGGTTAAAATGGTCATTTTCTCTTAGAGAAATTGGATTTGGAGTGATTGACATTCGAAAACTCTGTAATTCCTTTCTAGCCAGAAGGTCCAAAAACTTGTAAACCGAGCATCTTGCCAAAAAGGCTTAGCTATTCTCATCACGCATTTGCAATGAATATGAGAATGTTTGAAAGCGTCAATTACTCAAAATGATGTGGACATTATCATACACTTGATAAGCTGTTCTTGGCAGCCAGTTGAGCATCCTCACAATGTATCCAAGACACTATTGTAGTTCTCGAAGCAATTTTGTGCATGAAATTCTATGTTCTTCCCTTATCTAGCAAGAATAAAGGTTTTAATATCTTACAGAAAAACAGCTCTAACCAAAATATTCAGAGAAGAAAAATAATTCACCACATTTGGATATAACATGTTTATGAGATAGCTTCAATACTCTTGCCAAAAGGAGTCTGTGTGCTTCTCCTATCTACTGTTGCCTTTAACTCAAGCATTTTCATAAATTTCTGGTGGCAGCATTTTATTATAGATACAGCTGTTTAGTGTAAAGGCAACAGCCAAAAAGCAGATAATCAATGTGACAAGATGTAAAATATGTGGAAATGCAGCAATCTCATCCAAGTTGCTTTATTTATTGACTTGAAGGCAGCAATCCATCCAAATTGGTGTAGCCAAAAGGAGAAGTGCAGAAACAGCCTCACTAATGTAAAAGGTATAATCATTGGTTCATGAGATGCAAAAATTATATAACCTGTTCCTGAGGTAAGTTTCCTAGTTTCCATTTTCCACGAAGGGAAGTTCTCAACTTGCTTGGACAGTGAACAGATCATAAATGGAAAATTTTCTTTTGATTATTTATAGTCAACAGGTTTCTTTTTATAGAACTGAAATTTAGGACAATCTCCAACTTCAGTTCATAGGATACCATTAAAATGACCTTAACAGCTCTACTTGCTGGTTTGTTCCACGACCAGTCCAAAAGGCAAGCAAAAGAACTTATAATAGCAGTGACTTGTCCAAATAGAGATGATGGGTACTGCATGTGGCCATGCTTGTCCCATAGTCCAGATACTGCTCTCAATTCATGTCAACTAAGCCATCTAAGTGAAGAAAAACAGTAAGAACAATGATTTTGACAAACAAATTGCTTTGATTTGGAGGACCGGATGGATCAGTCCTTCAAATCCACATCACATGAAAGCAAATGTTGAATTTATGTCACAGACACATCAACTATAGAAGAAAATCTTTGTGAGGCTCAATCTAAATCAGCTAAGATTTTATGTGAACATGAAAAACATAAAAACAGTTAAAACAATGCTTGAATTGAAGAAGACAATCAACTGTAAAAGCGTTTTCTTCGACACGGAAAAGAAACTACTTGTGTCTGACCACATCAATGCATAATATCTCTTTTCTTAATATATATATATATACATATATGTATACATGCACACACAAAGACAGCTCTTTATTCTATAGTTCTAGTGAACCTCTCTTGCATCATCCGAGTTTTCAGATCGTTTATGCCAATCCAAAATAGTTTATATGATGATCATCACTTACCAAGTCAAAAGCAGCATTTTCTAGTGTCTATAAAGTAAAAGCTAAGCTGCTCCTTACCTACTTTCTAAAATTATTGTTGCGAGAGCTTATCTAGTTATCTAGTCATAATTCTTTCATACTTACACCCAAATATGTTGAAGAGTTAAAAGTTTTTTTAGAGAGCTTATAAAGCTCCTTACTAACCAAATAATAAGTTGATCCAAACATCTAAGTTTCACCCAGTTATTTTATAGTTAATAACTGTAGCCTGACACTATACTTGTTTTAACACGAGATCAAATACAAGCAAGCATGCCACAAGTAATTCTTCTCCTCCTCACCGCTTTGAAATTACCACACAAGATTCCCTGCCTTCTCTTTGTCAGACTAAGATCCATGATGGATGAAGAAGCAGGGTCCATAAAGATCTTAGGTTACCCTACTAAAATATTTTCCTTACACATCACTCCAAGCTAACATACATAGATTTCATGATACCCATCATCTCCTTCATGTCATACGCACATCACAGACAAAAATTTGATTGGCACAAACGTATGGTGCACAGATATTTACATATACACAACCAGTCTACGATATAATAAAAAACCCAAATGCTATAAACAATACCCACATCTAAAATTATATGTATAAGAAGATATTCGGAAGATTGATGAACAACATATGGTGGTAATAACTGTGAGTTTATACAAATCTGCTAAATAAAGAAAATTAAGGAAGAAATTAACGGAGTTGGTGAAACCTCTGGAGGAATAACAGTAAGAGAGGATAGGATTGCAGAATCAGAGTGAAAACAGGAGCATCCTGCAGTTTGAAGGACAGAGAAGAACCTATAAATAGATGAGGGTTAAATGAAAGACTCCATTTTTAGGGATGCTTTTGGTTTTTGTGATCTCTCCATCAGCAGCTCTGCCTTTAGCCTAAATTTACAATAGACTACTAAGATTTAAGGAAGAATTAAACCAGCATTTGGCAACTTCAAACTTGAGGATTATAAATTACAATTGTTCATTTAAAATTTATAAATCATTACTTACAATTTATGAAAGATCATCAAGTATAAATATGGTGTTGGTCTCTCCTACGTTTGCAGCTAAGGGAATCTTTTCCATCAAAGTTACATAATCCTGCAAGCACTAGTTTATTATAAATTTTTATAGGTTTTAGAAGAAAATTAGTTTAAACGAATGAATTAAGCTAGGTTTTGATCTAATTCAGAATTTTCTTAAACATTTTTTTTTTCCAAAAAATTATATCATTTCTAAAATTCAATGGACAATTAAACGAATATGTTTTAGAATTTCATATTTCAATTCTTTTCTTCATTCTGTGTCTAATATATCAAGATATATTGCTAATCCTAACCCCTATATCTTGTTATAGAAACCATATGGTATTTATACTAAGACATGTACAAGTATATAAAGTTATAAACACCATATAGTTACCAAACCTTGTATGACTATATAAAAATCATACAGCATTTATTCTATTCTATAGTATGGCATCATATAAAACTCATGAAGTTTTTATACCAGATATGGTTTTTTATACTAAATCCCTATAAATCATTTAGTCTTTATACCATACCCATATTTATATCATGATATAAATATTAATTGTATGGGGTCTAAATAAACTACTAACCAAAAAAATAAGAACACAGGTAAATCATGTCAATCAAGGGATTAGGGGCTCTAATCATCACACTAAAATTTCAAAGAGTTGCAAATAAAGTACTTACAACTATTATGGGCCAAACTGGCTAAACAAAATTTGCATTATTAGACAAATATGATTTTCTTCCACTTTAGAATATGCTCCATTCACTCCACACTAGCAGCAAATAATGGTTACAAAAGATAGCCACAGAAATACTATACATATATATTATATCCCTGTTCTCAGTTCTGAGTAGTTCATCATTCTTTTCTAGATTGAATGCTTTCATCATATGCTCTGCATAAAAAAATGGTAGACAAATTTAGTGTTTAACTATGCATTTATCAACGAAACAAACTTAAGCAAAATTTTCATACAGGATTGAGATATTCTATGTAAAACTAACCTCTATGTTCTAGCTATTGTTACAGAAGGACAAAATCGCAATGATTATGCTTTCTGAGAACAAGACAGTTCAATTTTGATGACTAAATATCTTTTGAATTATTTTAAAATGTTTTCTGCTTTTTGTTAGCTTTAAAACCCTTTGATTCATATTGGTGAAATCTTGCTCCTGTTTCCATTAATCATAGAAGAAAAGAGCATGAAAAGATAGAGATAGAAACACATAAAGATGAACTCAAGAAAAAAAAAAGATGGACGAAGAATTTATGTGAAATCTGAGATGAATGATAGTGTTTTATATGGAAACCCAACAAAATTGTGACCACAGCCTTTAACAATTTTTGCAAAGTGATTTTACTAACTAAAAAATGAATGCTGGTATAAGAAGAAATTATGGTTAGAGAACCAACCTCTGAATCAATAACTACTACAGTTGCAGAAAATAGATCCATCAAGAGTTATGTAGTAGTGACTTTTATTAAATCCTGGCAAATCTTGTAGTAGTCCTTCAACTTGTCACAGCACGAAATGCTCAAAGAACTGAGGCGTGGCATTACCATAAATGTGCAGGTACTTGTACTACTAATACTATGATAAACAGTTCCTATTGTGATTTCATAATCCCACTCTTCCCAATTTTCCATGCAATCAAAGTTAAGATCTTGGAGTTGAGGGAAGGCAGTAGAAGAAGAAGAAAATGCAAGACTCCCCATTCCTAAAAACTCAAGGCCCACTTTTTTCACTTTAGATATGCCTCTAAAATCGAGCACTTGAAGAGCTGGCAGGATTCCAAGTGGAGGCAACTGCTCAATATTTATAAAGGAGTGAAGTTTAAGCTCCCTTAGCCTTGCCAGTTGCATTAACCAACTTGGATACATAGTTGGCCCTCTATATCCATCAATTTTTAAAAATTCCAAGTCTAAAGGTGGTTGAAGGGCTTCAAGAAGAAGATGATCAGTTCTCTCTATGTCTGTTATCAGTCCATCAAATGTAAGCTCCAAGTCATGAAGATGTTTCTTATTTAGAAGTTGAGCATTAGTAGCCTCTTGGACATCCTTCACGTTTCCTAATCCCCTTATGTGGAGAGTGTCCCGAAGGTTGTTTAGTTATTGCAGATCCCCTAGAGTCATAGCTTCATCATCATTACTATTCTCTCTCACCACCAGCTCTTACGAAGAGAAGTTAATCTTCTCAACCCTTTGGGAAAAAATGTTAGCTTATCAGTTCTCATGTTATCTAAATGCCTCAAGTTGATTAGTGTTCCCATCCCATGAGGAAGTTTTTTAAGATCACAACACCAATGAATATTCAGAATTTGAAAATTGCATAAATGACACAAAGATTCAGAAAATTCTGTTAAGTCTAAATTCCATGACAAGTCAAGAAATTTCAAATGTATCAGTTGTCCTACCTGTTTCGGAAGTTTACTGACTGAATTACCCCAGTTAATAGACATGCTCAAATCCAATGACCTAAGACATGTCAATTAGCCAAATAAATCAAGTAGAGGTCTATCAGTCTTAAACTCATGGTGAGGGAACTCAACCAAGAGACTTGGTAACTTCTTTAACTTATAAACAGAGACAGAAAATGGTGAATTTTACTCAACAAACATCATTGAATGATGTATTTTTTACATAAAAACTTTATTTTAGGTACTTCAGTATCACTATTTTCTATAAAAAAACATTTATTTTTTGCCAAAAATTGAGCAAAATCATGCACTATGTCATGCATCTTGCATGTGAATCCAAAACGACCATTTTCAAAGTCTTGAAAAAAGGAGCTTATAGCCAAATTATCATAGTATACCTGACTAACAATTTCCACACCATCTTTAAGATAGCCTTGCGCCATCCATAATTTAATCAACTTCTCTCTATATATCTTGTAATCTGTTGGAAAGATGGCACAATATAAGAAACACTGCCTTACTTCAGAAGGCAAATCATAATAACTCAACAGCAAATGAGGAAAAAGCTCTTGTTCAGCCTCTTTTAGCTCCCATATTCGGTTATCTAAAACACTCTCCCATTGTTCTCTAGTTTTCCTAAATCACAAAAGACCTCCAAGGAACTTTGCAGGAAGAGGCAATCCATTACACTTGCGCGCAAGTTCCCTACCAATCTCTTCTAAATGCTTGCATTCTTCATTTGTTCTACCGAAGAAAGCTATGTGGCTAAACACAGACCAACATTCTTCTCCTGACAATTTCTCCAAGAAATACATGTGGGTGCTTCTGCTTCCCATGATATTTGCAACACTCCCCTTCCTTGTGGTCAGCAAAATCCTACTTCCTGGAAGACCACACGTGAGAGAATGTTCCAAGCATGCCCATTTTGAGGAATCTTCATTCCACACATCATCCATGACAGGAAGAAACTTCTTGTTTTTAATACATTTTGTATTGCTTGCAGTCAATTTTCTAATATGGATTCAATGATTGCCTTAGCAATCCTAATCTCATCAAAAGGATCTGAGACACACACCCATATCCTCTTTTCAAAATGTTTCTTTACATCCTTATCATTAAAGGCTAACTGAGCCAGGGTTTGTTTTTCCTAATCCTCCCATCCCAATAATGGAGATCGTTTGAAAGGATGATTCTTGACTTCTTTCTTCCAACAGCATCCTTACCACTCTATTTTTAGTTTCTTCTCTACCGCGCACCTGAAATTCATCAATGACAGAGCTAGTCATTTGTCGCTCAAGATCTGCTGTCTCCCTCCCAGACTGAAACCCATACCTGATTCTCTCATTGGCGAGAGCATTTAATCTCTTATTCAGCTTTGTGATTTTGTGGGCAATGTCGTGGCGCAAAATGGCTTGGTTGATGCAAAAGCAAGAGGAGGGCAAGAAGGAGCATACCTTGAGTATGGGGCCATTATCAACCTTGGTTTCTTCACCTTCAACTTTTAATTTGAGCAGAGCAGTATTCGACTCATCCAACACGTCCTCCATATCATAAGAAGCATCTTTTAGTTCCTCTAACCAGTTCCTGACTTTAGCCTCCTTCACCCATCGTTTCTCTGCATCTTCAAGCACATCTTGAATGGCCTGGAAATTGCTGGTAAGCTTTTGGACTTCCTCTTCACACCCACAACCAGTCGTACCTCTTGCTCCGCCTCTCTGTAAGCGATGGAAACCAACTGCTGTAGGACTGCAGATAGGATTGCATCAGCCATTTCTCAGGAGATGAAAACAAATCAAAATTAAGAAGGTAGATGTGGGTTGTGATGAAGTCAACCAAGGGGCTGAAAAGATGGTTTCTCTCCTTCTGAAGTTTAATTAAATGAATGATGATGTGCTTACAAAAAATAAGTGGATGATGTCAATTCTGATAATCATTTTATTTAGATTTATTTAGTGAGAACTTGATCAATAATGGAGAAAAGAGACTTTTTAATTATCCAAATGACAATTATAAACATATATTTATAACGATATATATATATATATACACACACACACTGAAAATTAATTAAAAATGAAAATTCTATTTCGACCTACTATTTGTATAATAATATTAAAAAATAAAAATCAATTGCTTTTTAATTTTAATAATGTTTGAATTTTTAATGATGGCGATGACTAGTTGCATGATAGGACAGCAGGTGGCAGGCGATGAATGACAAGGGAAGGCAGCTAGAAGTAGATAGAGGCACGCTACGGGCGGTGGCTGACAGTCATTAGTGGTGGAAGCCAATGGCAAAAAGAGGTGATTGGTGGACAATGAAGGGTGATCAGGGAGGGTGGAAGACAGCCGATGGAGGTGGAGGGTGCTCGACTTGGGGGTCGAAGTACCCTAATGTTTGGATTACTTTTTCTTATTGAAAGTAACTAATGTTTGGATTGTAGGAACAAGACATAACACTAGGGCGTGGACTTGTTGCTTTAAGCACAATTTTGTACACCTTCAAATTTGTTAAACTACCTCTTTAATCTGGGATTACATATATGGCTGATGATATATGTTAGGCATTTCTTAAAGATAATCTGGTAAAAAATACGAAGATGCTAAAACACATAGATTTCATGATACCCATCAACTCCTTCATGTCATACACACATCACAGACAAAAATTTGATTGGCACAAATGTATGGTGCACAGATATTTACATATACACAACCAGTCTATCTACCATATAATGAAAAACCCAAATGCTATAAACAATACACACATCTGAAATAAAGAAAATTGAGGAAGACATTAAACAGAGTATATGAAACCTGGGGAGGAACAACAGCGAGAGAGGATTGGATTGCAGAATCAGGAGTGAAAACAGGAGCATCCTGGAGGTTGAAGGACATAGAAGGACCTATGAATAGAAGAGGGTTAAACGAAAGACACCATTTTTAGAGATGGTTTTGGCTTTTGGATCTCTCCATCAGCTGCTCTGCTTTTTGAAAATAGACTAAAAGGATTTCCAGAAGCAAAGGAAGAATTAAACCAGCATTTGGCCACCTTGAAACTTGAAAATTATAAATTACAATGTATGGATTACAATGTTCATTAAAAATTTAAAAATCATTACTTAAAGCCTCTGAAAAATCATCAAATATAAATATGGTTTTGGAATCTCCTATATTTGCAGCTAAGGGAATATTTTCCAAATAAATCAAAGTTATATAATCCTGCAGGAACTAATTTATAACTATTAAGGGAGTAAATATCAAAGTTACATAGTATGTATAAAAAATAAAAACACAGGTAAGCCATGCCGATCACAATAAAATTTCAAAGAGTTGCAAATAAAGTAATTATAACTTTTACTGGCCCAGCTGACTAGATAAAATTTGCATCATTTGACAAATATGATTTAATTCAACTTAAGAATATGTTCAATTCACTCCACACAAGGAGCAAAGAAGGGTTAGAAAAGAAAGTGGCAAACACATTTGATGTTCAACTATGTATTTATCAATGGAACAAAGTTAATTAAAGTTTTCATTTGGGACTGAGATCTTCTATATAAAACTAAACTCCACCTTATAGCAAGGACTATGCTTTCTGAGAAGAAGACAGTAAAATTTAATTCCTGAATCTGCAGGAACGTTCTTCGAGCCTGCCTGTAGAGGGAAGAAGAGAAACGCCTGTACAGGGAAGGAGAGACACGCCTGTCCCGTATCAGCAGCAGACACGTCACTTGATAGCGCCTGTGGAGGGAAGGAGAAACACGCCTCGGGAAGTTTCTACTTGAACATCCATCGTCGACGTCGCCACTAATCATAGAAGAAAAGAGCATGAAAAAATAGAGAGATAGAAACACATAAAAATGAACTTAAGAACAAAAAAATTTACGTGAAATCTAAGATTAAAAATAGCATTTTACATGGAACCTCAACAAAATTGTGACTGCAGCCTTTTAAAGTTTTTGCTGAGTGCGTCGTACTAACTGAAAAAAAAAAAAAATTATGGTTAGAGAACCAACCTCTGATTTAAGAGCCGCTGCACTTGCATCGAGGTCATGCTTCAAGTGTTCAAGACTGACTTTTCTTAAATCCTCGTACGGCTGTTTTAGTTTCTTCAACTTGAAACAGTTCCGAATGAGCAAAGAACTGAGGCGTGGCATCACCATAAATGTGCAGGTGATACTACTATTATTGTCATGAACAGTTCCTGGTGGGATTTCACAATCCCACTCTTCCCAGTTTTCCATGAAATCAAATGTAAGATCTTGGAGTTGAGGGAAGGAAGCAGAAGAAGAAGAAGGAAGAGTGCCTATTCCTAAAAACTCAAGGCCCACTTTTTTCACTTTAGGCATGCTTCCAATACGGAGCACTTGGAGAGCCGGTAGGATCCCAAGTGGAGGCAACTGCTCAATATTTGGAAATGAGTAAAGTTTAAGCTCCCTTAGCCTTGCCAGGTGCATTAACCAATTTGGACACATGGTAAACCCTTTATATCCACGTATTTCTAAAATTTCCAAGTCCAAAGGTGGTTGCAGAGCTTGAAGAAGAAGATGATCGATTCGCTCTATGTCTGTTATCTCTCCATCAAATCTAAGCACCAAATCATGAAGATGTTTCTTATTTACAAGCTGAGCATTTGTAGCCTCCCGGATACCTTTTACGTTTCCTAATCCACTTATGTGCAGAGTGCCCTGAAGGTTGTTTAGTTGTTGCAGATCCCCTAAAGTCATAGCTTCATCATCATTACAATGGCCTCCCACCACCAAGTATTTTAATGTACAGAGAGAAGTTAATCTTCCCAACCCTTTGGGAACAAATTTTAGCCGATCAGTTCGCAGGTTATATAAATGCCTCAAGTTGATTAGTCTTCCCATCCCAAGAGGAAGTTCTTTAAGATAACAACACCCGTGAATATTCAGAATTTGAAGATTGTATAAATGACATATAGATTCAGGTAATTCTGTTAACCTTGTATTCCAAGATAAGTCGAGAAGCCTCAAATGTATCAGTTGTCCTACCTCTTTTGGTAGCTTACTGATAGAATTCATAGAGTAATAAGGCCAGCTCAAATCCAATGACCTAAGACATGTCAACTGACCAAATAAATCAAGCAGCTGTTCTTCAGTCTCAGAGTTTCCCCAAAGATTCTTAAACAAGAGGCTTCGTACCTTCTTTAACTTGTGAATAGAGACAGGAAATGATAAGTTTGACCTGCAAAGTATCATTGAATGACGCACTTTTTCATATAATTCATTATCGTACACTTCATTATCAGCAGCGTTTATTAAAAAAAATTCATTTTTCGTCAAATATTGAGCAAAATCATACACTACGTCATGCATCTTGCATACAAAACCAGTTTTATCTGTTTTGAAGTCTTGAAAAAAGGAGCGCATAGCCAAATTATCAAAGTACACCTGACCAATAATTTCCATATCATCGCCTTTAAGGTAGCCTTGCGCCATCCATAATCTAATCAACTTCTTTCTATCTATCTCGTAATCTTTTGGAAAGACGGCACAATATAAGAAACACTGCCTCACTTCAGAAGGTAAATCATAATAACTCAACTGAAAATGAGGAAAAAGCTTTTGTTCAGCCTCTTTTAGCTCCCATATTTGGTTATCTAATACACTCTGCCATTGATCTCTAGTTCTCCTAAATTGCAAAAGACCTCCAAGGAACTTTGCAGCAAGAGGCAAGCCATCACACTTGCGTGCTATTTTCCTACCAATGTCTTCTAAATGCTCACATTCTTCATCTGTTCTATCGAAGAAAGCTTTGTTGCTTAACACAGACCAACATTCTTCCTCTGACAATTTCTCCAAGAAATACATGTGGGTGCTTCTGGTTCCCATGATATTTGCGACACTCTTATTCCTTGTGGTCACCAAAATCTTACTTCCTCGAAGACCACACTTGAGAGAATTTTGAAAGCATTCCCATTGTGAGGAATCTTCATTCCACACATCATCCATGACAAGAAGGAACTTCTTGTTTTTAATAGATTGTTGTATTGCTTGCAGTAGATTTTCTAATTCAACTAGATTTGGGGTGCTATCAATAATGGATTCAAGGATTGCCTTAGCAATCCTAATCTCATCAAAAGGGTCTGAGACACACACCCATATCCTCTTTTCAAAATGTTTCTTTACATCCTTATCATTAAAGGCTAATTGAGCCAGAGTTGTCTTTCCCAATCCTCCCATTCCAACAATGGAGATCGTTTGGAAGCCTGATTCTTGACTACTTTCTTTGAAGGGTGATTCTTGACTACTTTCTCCCAACAGCATGCTCACCACTCTATTTTTACTTTCTTCTCTACCGCACACCTGAAATTCATCGATGAAAGAGGTAGTCTTTTGTTGCTCAAGATCTATTGTTTCCGTTCCACCAGACTGAAACCCATACCTGAGTCTCTCATTGGCGATAACATCTAGTCTCTCATTCAGCTTTGTGATTTTGTGGGCAATGTCGTGGCGCACAATGGCTTGATTAATGCGAAAGCAAGAGGAGGGCAAAAAAGAGCATACCTTGAGTATGGAGCTATTCTCAACCTTTTTTTCTTCACCTTCAACTTTTGATTTGAGCAGAGCAGTATTCCACTCATCCAACACGTCATCCAAATCATAAGAAACATCTTTTAGTTCCTCTAACCAGTTCCTGACGTTCTCCTCCTTCACCCACCGTTTCTCTGCATCTTCAAGCACATCTTGAATGGTCTTGAAATTGCGGGTAAGCTTTTTGACTTCATCTTTAACACCCACAACGAGTCGTATCTCTTGCTCCGCCTCGTTGTAACCAATAGAAACCAACTGCTCTAGGACTGTAGATACAATTGCATCAGCCATTCTTAGGAGATGATAAAGGAATCAAAATTAAGAAGTTAGATGAAGTAAACCAAGCGGCTTAAAGATGGTTTCTCTTCTTCTTCTAAAGTTTATTTAAATGAAAACAAACTGATCAATAACAGAGAAAGAAGGAGACTTTCAACCAATTCCTTAGATTCATTGTATTATCAAGCCTGCGTTTTTTCAATAGCAGTTACTTTTGTAATAAGTTTAAAATTACTGTGAAAATAATTATTAACTAAAATTATTTTTAGTTATAAACTGTAAACGTGTCTAATAAAAATAACTTTAAAATTATTATCATTTAAAAAAAATAAAAACTGAATCTTAGATTAAAATAACTATTAATATTGAAATTACTAAAAAAGTGTAAGAAGAGAGTAAAGAAAAATAAAAATTGTATATTTAGTAAAATAGTTTTGGATAATAAAGTAATATAAAATCTATTAAAATTAAATTTAATTTGATAATTATTTTATACAGTAATAATAATACATATGGATATAATAATAAATATATATTATATAATATACAAACAGAAATTGTATAAAATGTCTGATGCATATATATCAATATGTATGTTACCTTATGTATACAACATGCTCTTAAAAAAATAATTAAAAAATAAAAATTATAATAAAATTATTATTGTGTAATAATATTAAAAAATAAAAAATTAATTAATTAATATTTAAAAATTAATATTTTTAATTTTACACATCAAAAAGTAGATTTTAGCTTTGATTTTGATAAAAATTCATTTTTATTTATATGCGATCAGTTGTAAAGCATTTTTTAAACACGGAAGTTACAGTTAAAAGTGACAACCGAACATTACAAATAATTGGTAATGATGAATATATAAGTAAAGTTGTAATATGCACACGTTATCTATAGCTAACAAGAGAAAGATTCATTTAGAGTTTTCAATAAGCACTTTATTTTATGATAGTCAAAAGAATTTATTACATAAAAAATTAGGTTAAGTTATTTAATTGATAAAATCAATTTTAGTAGAATCTAAATGTATTGATGCATGAATGTAATCACTAAAAGATGTGTTTCTAGCATAGGACAATTTTGATCATTAGGAATTTTTCTTTGACTTTGACTTTCCAAAACCCTATTATGGTATGTACAGAAGAAGTAATTGCATGAAGAATGGATTCAACTAATTTGATCCATAAAATCATCGGTCATTTAATAATAAAAGAATATATTTCATTATCTCTCCTTGTATAGTTTCAAGGGGTTCAAAGGTTAGCACTTAAACATGATATAATTAATCTCTGACTCTCTAATCTTCACGACTCTTTTAAAATAATTTATTAAAATATAAATATGGACGGTGTAAACAAGACGCAATACTAGAACATGAGTTTGTTGCTTCCACCCCATTTTGTACGCCTTCAAATTTGTTAATCTTCCTCTTTAGTATGGGGTTGAGTTTATTGCTCATGATGCATCTTAGATATTTTTCGTATACAATTTGGTAGAAAATAAGAAGGTGTTACTTTGGAATAAACTTTTCGATAAAGAAATTTTTTGCAATAGTTATTATTGATGTATATTTTTAAATTATTTAAGATATTTAAATTTATTTAATCATTATAATATTTTAATTTTTAGGTGGATTTTAAATGTTATAAAAATTAGAATCTTTTATATTTTTTTAAATAAATTTTCTTGTTAGTTATAAATGATCTTTAGATAAAAAGATCAATAGATACCAATAGAGAAAATAAACAATCATAAATTCTCTTCGTTCTCCTTTTGTGCTCATTCTTTTTATTATATTTTATTTAACTTTCTTATTTAGTATATTTATCATATTATTTACCCACCTTACTATTTACTTTTATTTTTATTTTTATTTTTATTTCTCAATATTCTACTTTTTTTTTTATTTTTTAAATTATTTATAGGACAAATAAGTTCAAGAGTTACTTATCTTATATTGATTACTATCAGAGTCTAATCTATATATTTTATTATTTTTATATTTTGTACAAAAAAATACAGATTTTTTTTGAAAAAATGTTCTCATTCTTAACAAATTTTTTTATTTATCTTTTAAGTTATATTTTATTAGTTTCACTTAAAAAAATATTTATTTTCCTTCCGATCTTTTTAGACAAAAAAAAAAAAAAAAAAATTGCTAAAACTCAAAAGTAAAAAAAAGTTATATTAATAACTTACCATTATTAGCCTCAACATAAGTCGTTGACAACTGCTGAGTGATAGACGAGATTGCCACCATAGTCACGATTAAATAGCTCCCAAAAGCCTTTGAACTAAATTTTAATTGTTGATTTTGCTGGAAGACGTCTCATTCACTAATAAAAGAGATAACCAATTTTCCTTCTTAGATCTCCACTTCCTTACCCATCACAGATGACAACAACTACTGAGATAAAATTACCATAACAAGATGAACTTATAATTGGAAGATTGACCATCACTAGTGAATGAAGACTAGCACATATACCTCATGTATGCACCAATGAGTAGGAATTTTCTTATTGATCCATTCACACATATTAACTAATTCAGTTTTATCACTCTACTTAAAACTTTTTTAGACCATTTTAAATTTAGTTTTTAAAGCATTCCAGTGTGTTATACTAATTTTGAGACTAGTTTGGTTAAATTCACATCTTATAACTACTTTTATTATAGATAGTAGTAAAGATGATAACTTGACATGAATCCAACAAAATTTATTTATAGTTATTCATATAATCTACCCAATCACATACAATGCCTTGAACAAAGTCTTTGGTCCCTATGGATGCATAAAGTTGATTGAGATACATCCTCAATTAATTTGTATTCAATACCAAAATATTGAATATGTTGTCCATGCTAAAAATTATCTTAATATTCATTGCATATATGACAACTGTTATTAGAAATGCATGAGAAATTATGTAATAATTAAATGTTAAACTTACTAGCAAAATTAACTCTTTACTTGTGCTAAAAGATGAAAAACTTGAAGTTTTTTTTTTTGATCCACCCATAGCAACTCAAAAAATATTTATTTTTATCAAAGTTTTTTCTTTTTTATCGGTGCTAATGATGTTGAACAATTTATTTATTTCAATAATCTTGTTACATTTACGCTATTAATGAATTGATATTCTCGTTCATGATAATTGCATTAAACATGAAGTTCATTAACAAATTTCTTGAGGTACATTTTCACTTTGTCTTGTTAGTTTTATAATCCTAATTTTGATTAATTTTTATTTTTTATATAAAATTATCAAAAGTCTAGTCTTTTGAAGATTTTAAAGAACATATTCATTTCTTTTCTATTTTAATGCTTTGCTACTTAAAAACTTTAAGATAAACTTTTTACCAAGTGGAATAGAATGATACATATGAAGAAGATTTTAATTTGAATAATTTTTTATGAAAGAGTTTTTTTTTTTTTTTGTAATTATTATTATTATTATTATTTTATATTTTAAATTCATTTAGATGATTTAGATTTATGTAAGCATTATAATGCTTTACTTTCCTTTTAGATAGATTTTACATATTATAGTAATTATAATCTTTTAAGTTTTTTCTTTTATAATTTTTTTTATTAGTAGTAACTAATTCTTGTTATGAAGGCAAGTAGCTACAAGAAAGAGAATATCTTTGCTATAGTTTTATTTCATGTTATCCCTTTCTATATTCATTCTTCGTCTATTTAATTTTTCTCGTTCATTCGATTTTTTCCTACTATTTCTTAACTTTAATCTCTAGTTTTATCTTATTTATCTTTATTTTTATATTTTTCACCTAATTTTTTTCTATTTTTAATTATGTCATGCTAAGTTACTTTTAACCACTATTCATCGTACGTTACAATCTTTGATTAACTGATCATTTGTAGAAATCGACTAACCATAACATTAAACAATTAAGATTTTACCACAAAAAAAAGGGAGAGGACTTCTAATATATTTGAGATTTAATATATCAAAACAAGTACTTTTAAATATTAATGATCACGAAAAACTCATGAGGCAGATGATGTAAAATTTGTGATACCAAAATCACAAAGCTAATATAATAAAGTAAAAAAAAAAAAAGGGAATAAAGATTAGCTAAAAAAAGTAAGAGGAAAAGAACAAGATATGATATTAGCAATTCATGTATATTTAGTTTTACCAATCTATAGATCACCTTCATCATGCAAAGTTAAAAGAGTACTATAAAAGATTTCGCACACAAAAAGAACTAAACCCATTGCTAGAGCTGATTTTATTTAGTATGTCAGAGTATTCTACAAATTTAACTGCACATCTTGTGGCGTATGTTTAGTAAGAATAATGATAATACCAAAATAATAGTTTTTTTTCTTCATAAACAAGGAAGTATTCTTGATAAGAGAAACGAGAGTGAAAAGAAATTATACGAGTAACAAAAAGAAATAAAGTAAAACAATTAAAAGACGAAAACTAATAACATATCATGTAATCATAACATCTCAATTGCTATGTAAAATAGGCAAAGATATACCCGAGTAATTCCCCTGAATCTTAGCCCAGAGGAAGCCAAAAATATTTTCTTCTCCCACAGAATTGGATCTAGAAAAGAACGATTGTCGAAAATGTGATGATTCCTTTCCAACTGGATAGTCCATAACTCAATAAAGAGCACATCTTTTCTTTACAGTTTAGCATCAGCCTTAATCCCAAACCCATTAACACTAGACTTAAGATAAGATTCTAGTAAAGGGGAAGCAACCCAAGCCAGATTGAAAGTGCCAAACAACTTATAACATACTTTTCATATAATCTCATAATGGAGAAACAATGTGATTATATGTCTCGCTTATCCTATAACACATCACATAAATGTAAGGAGACAAAGCTCAGTTAGGTCTACAAATTTGTAATAGCTTATTAATGTGTAATCCAAGCAAACACCTTCGCTTTTCAAGGAATCTGAACTTGCTAGAAAGTCTTGGCAAACGTGTTGTGGCTAAGAAATCCAATAATTGTGGTTTTAGTCCAAAAGAAACCAAGAATTATGATCAATTAACTATAAGAAGAGGGCAAAATCAAGAATAAAAGTACCAGATAATCCTGTTTTCTCACAAATATACACTCA